GAAGAGGAGAGAGATGGAGAGGGGAAAGAGAGGAAGGGAGAGAGGGAGAGAGAGCAACAGTATCGAAAATGACAAACCGATTTTTCGGTTCAACAAGAACAATAAGATTTTACAGTTCAACAAATCGAACGATGATAAGATATCACTTGAATAAGTAACAAATAAGAAGGGACATTTCCACCCAGTAATCTTCATTGCGGATATCTTAGTGATTCAAAAGGTAATAATCGTTTTCATAGAAACCAACTAATGCATATTCGTCGCATAAGCTTGGCAACTACAGTAGTATTTGTGGCATAATGATTCAGGTTGGGGGTGTCCGGTATTGCGGGTATCCTGTACGACAGATGAACGCGTCAGGTCAGGAGTGTCGATCAATAGGTGAGTGGATGATTAGATGGTTGCCGAGTATGATTCGCATTTTGTTATTTCCCGAACTCCAGCTCTACTTGTTGTTTACGTTGCCTACACATCATCATCTTTTCCTACATTTATTATCTTTGAATTTTCAATCCCATTTCTCTTTACATTTGAAATTTTGACCGTAAATAATTATATTATTTTTTTCCTTTATAGGTGTTTTTCCAGTACACATGAAAATAGCTCAAAGTCGAAATTTTGAGGGAGTCCAAATAACTCTTCTCACTACCTTTTAAAGTCATCCATTCATTTCTCCTCAGAACAATTATTATTATTATCTAAAAAAGAACTGACAAATAAAAAAAAAGCAAACTAAAACTAGACCAAAACTATCTTCCTAATCGCCATATTTTAAATATCTATTGGGTTGCAGTCAAACTAACTTCAGCAAGGAGAATAAAGGTGTAAGCTTTGTATCGGCATTCTTATATCATCATCACATGTGGTCTTCATTATGCATTGAAAGCTTTATCCGTATTTTCAGGCCGATTGCAATTCCAACATATCCAGGAAGCAAAATTTATGATGTTATGTTAAAATCTCAATTTGAAACGAAAGTCAATATACAGAAGGAAACAAGTGAATTTAAAAAAATAGAAGGTAAAATCCCTTTTCTTTACAATGCAATTGAAAAGACTTATCTAGTTATCCTCTTTGAAGCTAAACCAGTTGTGAGCTAAATTTTCTAGTTGTCCAATGCCTTCACGACTGTTACATTCATCTGTATAATTTCTGGTTTGTTCGTAAGGGCTACACAGGTTCCACTTATAGAATAATGGGTTGTTTGATCTCCATGGGACTTCAGAATTTAATTTAAAATATGTGTACTTCCAAGAAATCTGTATGTTTTTTTAATTTACCCTTGGATCCTTTAAATTGTGCTATAAACGTAGATGAAGTTATTTCAGTTTTTGAACAGACAAGTGAGAACGTAGCAGCTGCTAACGTGGAATTTAGTCCCAACAGAACTACTAACAAGTGGGTAAAAAATGTTCCTCAGCAAAATCATTCTCTGGAGTAATCTGATTTTTGTAATTTCAAGGATTGGCGCTTTGCAAGAATAATTTCATGAATGAAAGGAAAAATACAAATAAATGAAAATGAAACTTTGAAAATCTGATTTCTTTTTTTTTATTTCAAGACGCAGAAATAAAGGAATGATTTTTCAGATCACGGTATTGTCGTAGGAAGCATTCTTATCATGTATTTAGCAGTTCGTTGAAATCAGGCAAATTTTGGTTACGCATTTTTCGACCTTGGAAGTGGCGCAAAAGGCGTAACGCGGAACGACTGCGGTTAGTTCATGTTTTTAAGATTTATATTTGAAATTATATACTGCTTTAGAAGTAAAGAGTTTCGGAAAAACTTTAATATTAACAGAAGCACAAAAGAATGCTGCACATACTTCCTATACCATCTTAAATCGAAATTTGTTTAATACACGACTTTAATCCTAGTTTGTTTCATTACTTGATAAGTATGTTAATGTTGCTGTCATTTTTTTGCAGTGATGCTTATGTATTGCAGTAAAATTAGTACGCGTATATTTACACATGATTAGTTTGCTAGGAATATACGAATATGACAAGGTCAAAGTGTGTATTTGTTCGAGTGCTGTAACAAATAAAAACTTTCTTAAATGCAACCGATAAGCTTGACATATAATTTGTCTTGTTAGAGATTGCACTCTTATTGCAAAAGGTTTAATTCTGGTAATTCTAAGTTGCAGTGTTACTTGTTCATAAAAGCAACCTTTTAAAATTCTATAAATTTGAATATTTCCTAGAACCGTAATCATAATACTGTTACATTTTAGACGAGGTACAAGTGATCATAGGCGAGAAAATTCACCACCTGCTATCATACGTTCATCTTTCAGCGCTTTGGAATCACCCTTTTCTGTTCCAGATGGTAATGATTGGTTTTCTTACTTTTGGGAAGCAAATTTTAACAAAAACAAAAAACAAAATTAAAAAATTTTTTTTAAAAAAAAAAATTAAAATTTAAACGGAAACAAATTAAAAAATTTAAACGGTTCAAAATATTTTTTTACTGATGCCTTCATTTTGTAGGCATAATGAATTTTAGTTAACTGTAGTAAATTTTAGTTAACTGTAAAAGAAGTTTTAGACCCTTCCAGTGGTTTATTTGTTCCTGTTTTTTTCGAAATCAGTTTGCTTCTGTAGTACTTTGCTACTCATATGTCTTCATTAAAATTTTTCATTAAAATACAATTATAACTGTTACTTCTGTTGACTTCTGATGACTGTTACTTCACATCTTATTTATCCTTCAGAAAGATTGCTAGAGACGCAGTTACAAGTGCTTGAAACTTTTAGTGTTGCAATTAATGATCCGCTTATAACTCATTGTGCATGGAATCAAATATTATGTTATTATATTTTTTACTAATGGAAAAGTATGGTTATATCTGTGATGCTGAAATTAAATGGTTTGTTGGAATTTACTACTAGTATGAGTTTTAGGAAAACTTGGTTGTCAAATCTTCCTCTGAAAAGGTTAAAGAATTTATCTTTAGATTGATCATTTTGAAGGTTTTTGTGGTATTTTTCAACTACCGATTTGCTCAGCGGATATTGTTGAAGAGGGAGTCAGTGATAATTTCAAATCAGATCATGTCTAGTTGCGATTTAGAAATTAATTAATTAAATTGATTAATTAGTTTATCTATTTGTTTATTAATACATTTATTCACTTGTTTTATTTAATTAATTAGTTAGTCAGTTTGTTTATTTACTCATTCATTTGTTTATATATCTATTTTATTTATTTGTTCACTCATTTATTCATGTATCTATTTATTTATTCTTTTACTTATTTCTTATTTGTTTGATTAATTAATGTAATTTATTATTTATTTTATTTATTCATTCATTTATTTTATTTATTTATTTGTTCATCCAATTATTACTGAATTAAATTAATTAGTTTACTAGGGTTTGGTGGACAATTTGTTTTATTTGTTTAATTAATCAATTTATTTATGTATTCATTTATTTATTTGTTCATTTGTGTTTTCATTACTCATCCATTTTTTTATTCATTTGTTCATTAATCAATTAATCATTTTGTCAATTCATTATTTTATTTATTTTATGTAATTTTACTTACTTATTTATCTGTTTATCCATTCACTTATTTATTCATTCATTCATCTATTTATCTATTTATTTATTTAATTAATTTATATTTATTTATTTGTTTAATCAATTTATTTATTTGTTCATTTGTTTATTTATCCATTCACTCATTTGTTTTTTATTCATTTATTTATTAATCAACTAATTGTTTTCTTCGTCATTTTGTTCATTTATTTATTTTACTTTATTTATTTAATTTATTTGTTTGTTCATTCACCTGTTTCCTTATCTATTTGTTTGTTCATTTAATCAATTAATTAGCTTTTTATATATTCGTTTAATTAATGAATTTATTTGTTCACTTATTTATTTGTCTGTTCATTCATTTTTATTTATTTGTTTATCCATCCATTTATTCATTTGTTTATTTATTTATTTATTCACTTTACTTATTTTATTTGTTTGTTTATTTGCCTATTTATTTAAATAACTTGTTTGTTTATATATTTGTCTGCTTATTTATTCAATTAATTAATTTGTTCATTTATTTATTTACTTTTTATTTGTTTTTTATTTATTTATCTGTTTATTTCTTTATTTGTTTGTTTATTTCATTAATTAATTTATTTATATGTATATATACTTATTGAATTAATTAATTGATTAATTAATCAATTCGTCCATTTATTTGCTTTTTTTTATTTATTTCATTTATTCACTTATTTGTTTTACTAATTAATTAATTTGTTAATTATATATATGTAAAGAGATGGAGAGAAAGAGAGAGAGAGGGGAAGAGAGTATGTGTGTGTGTATGTGTGTGGAAGAGAGTGAGAGTGGGAAAGTGTAGCTCTGCTCTTATAAAAGTCGTTTGAAACAGTCGTTTAGTTGAGTAGTCAATCAATCGGATAGATCATGCGTTCAGTTGTAGCGAATATTTTGTGATTTGCTGAAGAGAAGAAAGTTAACAAGCTGTCGGCAAGAGAATTTGTAGCAATCACTTCATTTTATTGTTGTCTCTGTTTGCGTTTCATTTTACTCAAATATCAATAATCAATGGTATTTGAACGTTTATCTCTCGTTTCTGCGCAAGATTTCCATTTTGCTCGTTAGATGCAGGAATTTGAACGAATTTCTTTCGAAATGGATGTGGAAACAATCTATTTTCTTAACTTTCCAGTTATCATTTACTGTTATCGAAGGTTTCGACATTGGCTATTTAAAATACAATTGTTAATTTATTGATTTTCTTATTATAGAGACATACAGGCCAACTCAGTGGAACAGTTTAAACTCGTCAACCCAAGAGCCCGTTCGAATATTGGATTCATTAAAGGGGTAATACAACTCTCATGAAAACACGTTTTTTCTATAATTTTCAACCTTAATTATTTAATGCAACATTTACTTCGCTTACATCTGATATTTTCGATTTCAACTGGAAAGGTTTTTATCGGTTAGGTTTCAGAGGAAGTTCTGCTGGAAATATTCTCCACTTGACTACTGAAGAAATATTAGTGCAACCAGTTCAAAAAGTTGTAATTGTTGAGCACAAAAATACATCTAGTGCATGTAATCTAACGAATATCAAGGATGTGAAAACAAATACTGGTCATCTTACGGTAGAAAATTTGATAGACTTCGAAGCTGCTTCCATTGCAACTCAAGGTAATTTCTGAAAATTTTGTGAAAAAGTCAGTATATTTTGTAAAAAACAAATAGCTCTGGGTTGTTTTTACAGCCGAACAACTTGGTCAGGAAAGAGCAAGCATAAATGGTAAGCAGTTTACCGATCAAGAATACATAACTTTCCAAATGGATCCCAGAGAAATCAAAAGTGCAGTTGTTGAAGAAATCGTTGCAAAAGAGCCTGATCTGTCAGCACGACCAAACAAACCTGTTCTAAAGAAGCCTGGTGCACCTAGTAGATTCAGACTTGTGAAACGAACACCAAGTCAAAAAATACGATTGAGTGAAAGGATTTCCGGAACAGTAGGTATTGATCGTCCTAATCAACCGCTAAGGTAAAGTTTTTTAGGATTTGAATATTGTTAGTCAAGTGAAAAGGTCAATTTCTGAAAAAATTTGTCAAGTTTTTTAATGTTGCATGTTTTAGCTCCAATAGGACGGAGTTACCATCCAGACTGACTGATGATAGCGACAGCGATACAGACATCCAGTATCGCGATGATGAATTAGGCAAACGTCATAGTATTGGTTATAGTACGAATCCAGCCATTGCAAGTCGTATCGTATCGTATCCTCTATCTAGTGAAGATGATGAAGATGTTCCACTGAGTATGCTTTTCACCTTAAAAGATTAAAGCAAGTTTTGATTAATTTTATTTCACTTTATTTTACGGGTGCATTTTTAGCAAGTTTTGCATTACGGGTAACTAGAAAGGACACATTTGCAAAAACATTAAATGTACGTGATCCTGTCGATGACATTCCGAATCAAACATCCGATGATAGACTGCGACTGATGCACAAAGCAAGTATCAAATTGGAAAGGTTTTATATATTTTCATTAAACATTTTGTTGTTTCAGACTTTTAGTAGTAATCCGAATAATTCATCCAAACATCACAGCGCATTTATCAAGTTTCCAGGAAGTTAAGTGAACGTCCTTCTGTTGAAGAACTGGAGCAACGTAATATTTTGAGAGCCAAAGACGCTTCGATTTCTTCCAAAATGGCCATGGACGAAACACGCAAAGTCTTATTGCGTAAGGTGACTGTACATTTCAGTTCTTGTTACTGTGTTCATTTAGTGCCTATAATTTACTAATATATTTGTTGGAAGTTTACTATGCAGGCAGATTAGATTGAAATCGGGGATGTTTATTTCTTTCAGCTGAGTTTTCGTCCAACAATACAAGAGCTGAAGGATAAGCAGATAATCAAATTTAATGATTATGTGGAAGTAACAGAAGCAGAAGCTTATGATCGAAAAGCAGACAAACCTTGGACAAGACTGACACCAGTTGATAAGGTTCCAAAATTTGTATTTCATGGACAGAACCGGCTATCCAATAATCTGTTTATGGTCTGCTGATATGATAGAATAATTTGAAATATTTTGTCCTTGCAGGCACTGATCAGGAAGGAGCTGAACGATTTCAAGGCAACAGAGATGGATGTGCATGAGGAAAGCCGTATATTTACGAGGTAATCTTTTTCAGCTTTATTTAGTTTAAATAGTGGGGAAAATCATTTTTCAATATATGGTAGTAATAATCTTTTTAGCTGCTTACATTAGACGATAAATCTTTTCAGGTTTCATCGCCCGTAAAGTTGTGTTATATCATTCGCTCACGCATTTTTTATGTTTTATTATTGAGCTCGTGACATCTCATAACCTACCGTCATCACTTTTTCCATTATTCCGATGTTATTTATTACCGCAAAAATTCTTTCATATTCGCTCCTGGCATTTAATTTATTATGAATTCTTTTCCAGTGAATCAAATCTAAATGCGCGCTCCTCCTACTCCTCTTTCCCCTCCTTTTTCTTATCTTTTTTAAAGTAATAATTATTCAGCATTTGTAAAGATCATGATAGCTACATTCAGAAATTAGCTTTGAAAAACTTGTGCTCTGTGTTTGTTATACAATTTTATAACATTTATTTTTTCCAATTTTTTATATTCCTCCTGCGAAACATACCGAACAAGTATCAAGACAGCAGAAGTAAAGACTTCGAGATGGTTTGGTCTGTATGCGGTGGTAGACAAAGAAATTATGCATTCTGTTATTGTTGCAAAGGGCTTTACCTCAAAGTTCAAATTGTAGTGGACTTCATCAAACATAGAATTAGAACTGGAAATATGAATGTGTAGTTAACAACAAAAACTTGAATCAAAACCATTATTTACATTTGTCTCTTCTATTTCCTCATTGTTCTTGAAACCCATATTAATGACCTTCCGTGCATATGAATGTTTTGTAAGTGCTGAGATATTTAGGTGTTGTATTTTTAAACTCGTTCTAAAAACCAAAACCAGTACTAAAGTCATCCCCAAGACTCCGCATCTCACCAAGTTTTTCGAAAGTTGAATTTCCTGTGTTCTCTCCCTTCTGCCTACCATTTTTTCTCGAAATCGTCTTTTGTTGCGTAATCTTCCTCTCAAGTTTGTTTTGCAAACGCTTTGTAGATAGAGAATTGAAGTTTCCATGATCCCATTTGTTTACAGACATCATATGATATGGATAAACTTCCATAAACTTCCACTTTAGCGCATCGATAATTCTATAGCAGATTTAGAGATAGCACCGACGACAGTCATTGTAAAGTATACAAAGTATCTCATAAGAAGATGGCCTAAAGCAAAACTATCCATACATAAATGACGAATTCCAAAACGCAGAAAGCTAGTGTACAGGATATTTTTTTCTCAGCAACTATGCTGAGGCAGCGAAACTTATGTGTATGAGAAGTATGTCGTATGTAGGACATCAGTCGAATTGATAACTCTGTTACGTCGGAAAATTTCGCAAAAAAGTTTATATAGATAGAAACATGATTAGAAATTGCATGCAAAAGTAAAGTTAACAGTAAGAGGCTGGAACAAACACAATTGCGGAATATATTTTCTTTAATGGGTAGTGTTATTTAGCTGTAAAACATTTAGGGCTGTTCTGCAGATATTGCACGCAAAAAAAACTTCAATTCCAAAGCAACAATATCTGAGTGAAGTCCACATGGATGTAATGTGTAGAATGAATAGCAAACTGTGCAAAATGTTATCGACCTGCTCTTTGTCGAATACCGTAGTTGTAAACATGAGCCATATTGACTTCCGTTGTCGTTATCTGATCCTTGAGAAATGCTAACTCTTTCTCGTATTTCGCCACTCCATCGTTTGCTGAAAGAAGAGTTTAACGACAATAATTAGGGTATGCAATAATTTGAGGAATAATAACCTATGTCATATTTTATCCGAAACGAAAATACCATAAGTCAGACATCACCGCTTCGCGATCAGTAAAGTAATACTGGCATTTTGATAAAATAATCTAACAGCAGGGAAAGATTAACTTGGATCAGAAAAATGGAAAACAGCTATAGTCATTTTTTCGATAACGAATTTGACAAATGACAGAGCGTTAGGACTTGCCACTTTTATAATTATCTTCAAGTATGCATCGCGCTTCGCTTAGATTGAATTCCACCATAACATTAGAACCAAGCCACAGAAGCACCTGAATTAATGTCTGGAGTGAAAAAGCTTAAATGCAACTAATAAGTGGATATGCAACTTACTAAAAAGAGCGAACTGAAGCATATTTAATTACCTTATCAAGTGAATCTGTTTTCACCCGTTGGTAAACATGATCACTTAATAGATGTGTCACTTCCACAGTTTCCATTTTTTTCTGAAAAGTTAATGAAGAGATTATGGTAAAGGAAGTTTTTTAGTTCAGAAGCCCACTTTCGAAAGCATAAAAGAGTAAAATAAGATAGAAATTCAATATACCGATTTCTCTTCCAGATGATTAACAACTTCGACTGACTTTTTCAAATCCGGAAGCTTCGAAAGTAATCTGTAAAGAGAAATGAGTTGAAGACATATTCAATAGAAAGAAGTAAACAAATTCATAACAGATATTGCCAGTTACGTTGCTAAGGAACAAAAAGCTGATGAGTATACCATAACACAATTGCTAAAATCTCTTCGTTTTGCGATCGGTAAAAGTGTTTTACCGTACGATACTGCACTATGACATGAACAGATTAAAATGAACACTACACCAAGCGGATAATTCCTACAGAAAACAGGAATGTTAGTGCGAGAAAAAGTGAAACGATTAGCCCTCACTATGAAATGAACTGCTCCAAACAGCAAGTGAAGCCACCCTTTGTCTACTTATATTTAGTAGTACCATATGATTTTGGAGGATAATGAAAGAGATATAACTTCAAATGATGAGGACGAGACTCACTTAATAAACCAAGATAGTGTACCATTTACGGTTATTACTTAGCATAAAAGATAGATAATATTCACAGTCTCTTTATCTCCCCACCAGAAATTCTCCTTCCTTAAATTTGGTCATGTTGAGAGTTTACATTCGGAAAAGACAATAGAACTCTGGTGTTAAATGAATAAATAAAGTGAATAAACAAATAAAGAAATAAAACGAAGTAAATGAACAATGAAATAAGTGAATAAATTAATCAATTGAATAAATAAACAAGTGGAATAAGTGAACGACCGAACTAATTAATTAAATACACTAAATAAATCAATAAGCAAATAACTAAATAAATAAATGAATAAAGTGAACGAATGAATGAATAAATAAATAAAGCGAAATATGTAAATAGATAAATGAATAAATAAATAAGATAAATAATGAACTAAGAAGTTAAATAAATCAAGTTAATTAATTAAATAAATGATAAGTGAGTGGGTGAATGAATAAACAAAGTGAAATAAGTAGATGAATAAATGAACAAGTAAACAGACAAATAAATAAATAAGTAAATGAATAAAAAATAAACAGGTGAATAAGTAAATAAGCAATTGAATAAATAAACAACTAAGCAAATAATAAATAAAATAAATAGATAAATAAAATAAATGAATAAATAAATACATAAATAAATAAGTAAATAAAATAAATAAA